TCCCTCCTGCTTCTCTGGCGACCCTCGCCCATGCTCGTTCGAGCGGCTTCGCGCGTCTGGCCAGGAGCGCGGTGCGTGGGCACGCGGCCAGGTAGTCTCCGAGCAGGTCCAGCGTGGCTCGGCAGCCCGGGTGGCTGGCGGCCCCGCGCCTGCGTGGGAGGATCGGCAGCGGGGTCCGGCGGCGCCGGCGCATGGCCGCGTGGGCTTCAACGCATGCCCCTCGGTAGTGGGCAGCGTGCGTCGCCAGTAGGTAACTCTTGCCGCAGGTGGGGCATGTGAAAGGCGTCTGCCCACGTGCCCGAGTAGGCCGACGGGGGCGTGCGCGCTGAGCTTTAGTGCCCGAGTTCTCCGTCTCGCCCTGGCGCATCCCGTCTGTTTTAAAACTCCCCCCTCCCCCCCGAGAAAAAAAAGAGGAAACAACAAAAATTGCAACCCGATTGTAAAAGCGTCTTTGTAAAGCGTTTTTGCTGTAATAAGGAAAAGGCCAGTCGTCGATCGCATTTTGATTCTGTTGCGCGGGCTCGACGGGCGAGCGCAAATGCAAAACGCTCCTACAGAAGCGCCCCGTGCGGGCACGCAGCGCATCGCATCTTGGGGCGGCGGGGGAACGGATTCAGTAGTCACAGCGGGCCTGCGCGCCCAGGATCATCATGTTCGAACGCGTTGAATTGTTAAGGCGCCGCATGTGTAGTTTCAACATTGGGCCCGCTGTCAGTGTAGTCCAGGAAGCCCCAGTGGTATGCAATCGTTGACTGATGGTGCCCTCGGGCTTCTCATTGAATCCCGCACCTGCCGTGAGACCCGTTTCGGTGCCAATAGGACACCAGGTCGTCCATCGCGTTTACAAATGTTTCTTGCGGGTCCCACCTTCACAAGGCCTGCCCGCCCAGTCGTTCCACTGGCCCGTCGCTGGTTCCACGCGGGGCCTGGGGACCCATGTAAGTTTGCAGTGTCTCACTGTTTCCCAAGAGCTACTATGAATTATGTTTGCCTCTCCCGGGCCCCCATTGGAGCGGAGGTTCTTATCGTTGCTTCCGCGGGCCCTGTGCATTCTCTGGAGCGCGGTCGCGCACGATGTCACGCCCCGCCGCAGTAGGCCCACGCATGGCCAAGGAGAGGCCCGACCCTTTGGCTGCCGCAGCCAACTCTTTTGCGGCCGCGGGGTCTGGCGCCCTGGAAGCAGTCGCCAACGCGCGACCCAGGCTGCAGCGCCGGAAAGTCCATTGTTTCACAATCATACATCCACATCGGCCCTCCCGGCATTAAAGTTCAACCAATTGTTTTTTTCACCGCTGAGTTTTCGAGATTACGAGGGCTATTCCGCATATGTTTTTTGCATCGCGCGGGCGCGAGCGCGCGCGCGAGCAACGACGAACAGACAATGCGCCACAAGGCATAATTTCATTTTGTGGCCTCCAGAGTACGAGTGACACACTTGGTTTTCGCCAGTGAGTTTGAGAGATTAAGATAGATATTTTGTAGAAGCGTTTACATGATGCACGCGCGGGGGCGCGCGCAAGCATGGCCTCCAGAATACGATTGCAACGTTCCATGTGCAAAGTTTCCGATGGTACAATGGCCATTCTGCAAGCGCGTTTGCACTGCGCGCTCGCGCGCGCGTGCGCGGGCAAGGAGGGAAATGCATTGTGCCACAATGCATTCTTCCACGTGGCGGCTTCCAGAATACGAGTGAAACGATTGGTTTCCACCGTTCAGCTGTCGAAGTTGAGGTTGCGATTCGGCGTGAGCTTTCGTCTGGTTCACGCGCGCGCGCGATCAACAGGGAAACTACCTCGCGACGCAAGGCAGCACGTCACGTTGAGCCCCTCAGAAAGGGAGTGGTAGAATTGTTTTTTTCTCCAGTCAGTTTTTTCTGAATTTAGAATGCGATTACGCATGGGACATTTGCCTTGCGCACGCGCGCGCAGCGAGGAACGCAGAGTGGACCGCAATTCATGAATCCACGTTTTCGGCCATCAGTGTGCGAGTGAAACGATTGGTTTTCCATCAGTCAGTTCTCAAAAGTAAGTTGGTCATTCTGCACCGGTTGCCCTAATAGGTTTTCTGCGTTGCGCGCGCGCGGGCGCGCGCGCGCGAGAGCAACGAGGCCAGGTCATTGCCCCGCAGCTTTATTTCTTTACGTTGGGGCCCCAGGATACAGAAACTATGTGTTTTCGCCATTCAGGTTTTCTGACTTAAGATGGCTATTCTGCGCAGGTTGAAGCGTTGCGCGCGTGCTACGAGAGGCGCGCATTGTGCCGCAATGCATGATTGCGCGCTTGGGCCTGCAGCATACGCGTGGAACAACTTGTTACCATTTTTCAGTATTCGAATTTCTGATGGCGATGTGGCTTCGGTTTTTGCGTCGCGCTCGCGCGGGCGCCAGCGCGCGGGCGCGCGCGAGCAAGGAGGGAAGCGCATTGTGCCACATTGCCTTAGTTTACGTTGAACTTCCCAGACTATGAGTGAAACGCTAGCTAGGCTTTTGCCGTTCAGTTTTCGATGTTAAGACGGCTCTTCGGCATCAGCTTTCGCAATGCACGCGCAAGAGCGCGCGCGCATGAGCACGCGCGAGCACTGAGGAACGTGTATTTTATCGCAATGCATCTTTCCACGTTGGGGCCTCTTCGGGATGCGAGTCAGGCACGAGGTGAGCACCATTTAGTTATCGAGCTTGGGGATGGCCATGCTGCATCGGTTCTTCCGCTGCGCGCACGCAAGTGCGCGTGCAATAGGAGCAGCGGGTTGTATTGCGCTTAATCTGGCTAAGTTGGAACCAGGCGAACAGGGGTGAAATACTTGGTTTTCATTATTCAATTCTCGCACCCAGCATGGCCACTCGGCGCCGTTCGTTCTTGCGTGGCGCGGGCAGACGGGCAATGGGGAAGTTTCATTTGCGTCGTAATGTCGCATCCAGCACTTATGCCATCAGAATGAGAGAAACACTAGGTTGTCGCCGCTGGGTTTCGAAATTGACATTGCCATTTGACAGTTACTCCTGCGTCGCGCACGTGGGAGCTGCGCCGTGCGCTGCGCGCCTGTCTCGCGCGGGGCGCGAGCGAGTTTTTGGGCCCGCAGTCGGCGGGGGCCCGCGCCTCGGCGTCGGCCGAGCCATGGCTACGGATTGCAGCTCGCAGGCGCGCGTTCGCGCAGGGAGCTATTGGGCGCACGCGCTCTCAGCCGTGCGGGGCCGCGCTCGGCCGGGCCAGCGGCGCTTGCGTGCCGCGTTCAACCTAGAGCCCAGAGCGGGCCCATTCCGCGCCCTGCTTCCATTCCCAACTCAACGGCCTGTCGCCCGCGCTTGCGTTCGGGGCAGACCTGCTCGGGATAGCGATATGTGCGACGGGGAGGCAGCGTCGCCGCGCCCGCCAGTGTCCTTGTTTGTCCGTGATGGGGAAGGCGCGATCTTGCGCTGGTCGCTCTGGGGGCCGTCAGCGCGCGCCACGTTGCTTTCCGACTCGGGCCCGCGTCCCAGAGGCTCTTCACTGTTACTTTTTAACGTTGCGCTCGCGTCGGCCTGTTTACCGGTGGACGTTGGCTTTGCCGGTGGATGTCGGCCACTTACCGGTGCATGGGCTTAAATGAAGAGAAACGCATTCACTGTTAAACATGAATACCGGTGGATGTACTTAGGCTTCCGGTGGATGTCAATTTTACCGGCGCATGCTGTCGGCGACGCCAAGGCACGCGCGCGCGCCTGCACATACGCGTAAATGCCACTGCGTGGCCTCGCCCGTGTTAGGCACCCGCGGGAAGGGCCTTCGCGCGGCTTTTGTATTGCTTGCTTGTTCGTGGCCCTCGCCCATGTCGTGGGTGCATGATAGAAAAGCGCGCGCGAAGTAAATCATGTTAAATATTGACCGTAGCATGACTAATGGATGTGTTGATGGATTACCCGTGGATGCTGGAATGCTGGTGGATGTTGGTTTTCCGGTGGACGTGGTCGAATTACCGGTGGATGAGTGGATGACAGCACCCACTGTTGCACTTTAACGGGGGATGATCAAAATGCTGCAAGTTTACCGGCGTATGAACATGTTGCACAACATCCATTGTTAAAAAGTAACGTTGGTGAGCCTTTGGGATTCGCCGCGGCCGCGGCGGGCGACGCGTTGGGGCTGGGGGGTGGGGAGGCGGGGGGGGGCGCAAATGGCGCTTAAGCCCCCGTTGTCCGAGATGACAGAAGAGCCGAGGCTCCGGGGTGCTTGGCAGACCGCGCGCTGCCCGAGCTCTGTCCGAGCCGGGAGGGCGGTCGAGGCGCGGGAGGGGGGGGGTCGGCAGACCGCGCATTGTCCCAGGTCTGATCCGGGCCCACGGCCGAGCCCAGAGGGTCTTTGGATCAGAAATTCGGATCGGGCGTGAAAATGCATGTTTATGACATGTATGCCTTAAAAGTGTTCTGGTATTTTTGCGCACGTAAAAATAAGCCAAATAATTCAGAATCGCCCGCAATATTAATATAGGCTGCAAGGTTCACTGTAAAAATACGCCGCAGGCCCCGATTCATTCAAATTCGTAAATCATCATCTGATGGTGCCTAAACTATAAGACATAAGGCCATTCAGCGCGATTGGTGGGCGGAAGGGGTGGGATGTCAGCTGTGGCTCTGCCGCGCCTAGCTTGCCTCCTGCGTTTTCGCTCTGGTGCCATTGCTGGCCCTGTCGCCGTCGCCGTCGCTGTCGCGCCGCCCGCGTCGTATATGCTGGGCATCGTCGTCGTCGATCTCGTCGTCGCCGTGTCGTCGTGTGCCGTTGTCGTTCCACTCGTCGTGGTCTTCCTGCGTTTCTGCGTCGTCCTTCCGCTCTGCCGCCGCTCCTCCCCCGTGTCTTTTTTGACGCCGCCCGAGCAATCACAATTCTCATTGCTTGCTCCTGTGCCCCAGCCTTCGTCCTTTTTTGCGAAGCCGCGCTGGCTCGATTATGGTACTTTGAGGGCAAGTGCCACGACAGGCGTGGCAAACACCTATCGGCAAGGCGTTCGTGTCAGGAGAGCGCCTCGAGATGAGCGACGAGGTGCCCTCGCCCGTGCGGCGAACGCGGCACCGTCACTCGATCACGATTCCAGAGCCAGAGACGGTAGTCGAGGGTGGGCCCATCTCGGAGCAGCAGGTTTGCGCAGAGACGCTGCCAGACGCTCTGCCGCCGCCGAGCGCAGAGTCGCTCGAGCGGCTCGCGCTGCCTGACTCCAAGGAGGAGAAGGCTGACCACGATGTGGAGATGGCTGACCCCGACATGAAGCAGGTGCTCAAGGAGTCCGAGGGCCTGGAGGAGCACAGGAAGCAGGTGGCGGCATTCGATCAGAAGCAGGTTGAGGTTGCCTTGAAGGCAAGCCACGATCTTGCGGAGAGCAAGGGCACACTCGTCGAGGACTCGCCGCCCGTGGAGGACCTTCAGCAGCCCAGGGCGGGGTCGAGTTGGGGCGAGAGGATGGAGAGCCTGAGCCCAGACACCCGCAGGCGGCGTCTGATCATGGTCGAGGCTGGGATGCACAACCTGGTGGACCACATGCATCGGGCAGCGACAGAGTTGTCGGCAGTGGCTGATGCGACATCTGAGGCCGAGACGTCGCCTGCAGCCGCCAAGGAGCTGAACCGCCAGGCTCACGCGCAGCAGCGGGAGCAGGCAGCAGGGCCATAGCACCATGGGCGGGAGTCAGACTCGGATGTGGAGCCGCTTAGCCAGAAGGCTTCGCGAGCAGCGGGCGCGCCACTCTCGCGGGAGCCTCCGCGCGCGCTGCAGGAGCCCTTGCGGGAGCCTCAGCCGCGCCTGCAGGAGCCTCAGCCGGCAGCGGCGACGCAGCAGGCGACGCCGCCCGAGGGCGTGATGCAGCAGCAGGAGGCGGCGACGCAGGCCGAGAAGGAGTGCTCGGTGGGACAGGGCGATGCGGCGGCAGGGAGCAGGCAGCGCACATCAGACGAGAAGATCAGGGCGGTGCTGGAGGACATTGGATACTCATATGATTGAGCGTCACACCTCCCGGTCCCATCCCAAACGCAAATCCCACTGCAAATCCCAATGCATTGGGATTCGCGTTGGGATCTGCACTTGGGATGCTGAGTCTGTCTTCGGCCCCGTTAGCTCAGGACAACGAGGAGGCCGCCAAGGCCTTCGAGACGCCCGTGAAGCAGCTGGGGTCGTGCATCCAGCACGCCGCACCGCTGCTGAAGCAGTTCGAGGAGCTTCGCCGCTCCGCTACCTAGCTCTTTGATGCCCACTCGTCGTATCCTCACCTCCCACATGATGCAACTCTCCTCCGATCTCGTCGTCGTCCTCCTCCTCCACCTCGACACCGTCTTCCGATCTCGACGTCGCCCTCCGATTTGACGTAGTTGTTGTCGCCAGCCTCCTCAGTCGATCGTGACAGCCGTTGCGTGTGATTGTCAGATGTCGTCCGCGCGCGCTGTCCGTCCCTCGCCCTGCATAGCCATGCCAGGCCGTCTGATATTAGGGGCCCCTCGTCGTCGCCACAAGCACCGCTGCCGCTGTCACATCCGTAGCGGGGATGGCTCGAGATATGTAGATACGAACTCGCACACAGACGGGCCGCGAATGGGACATGGCAAGGAGGAGCAGCTCTTTCGGATATGGGCCCTCCACATAAGCCAGACACGCGCACGTCGCAAACGTCCGTCTCAGGGGTTCGGAAACAATCCTTAGACATCAATCGTCCCACTGCCTTTCCTCGTCGCCCCCGCTCCCATTCCCATCTACATTATCCTCCCCCTCTTCTTCCACCTATTCTTCCTCCGTCTCCTCCTCCTCCTCCTCCTCCTCCTCCCTCCTCCTCCTCCCCCTCCGCATCCGAAACAGTTCGTAAATGCCGAACTCGCGTGACGGGGATTTGCCGAGGCAGATTCAATATCGCATTCCACGGCAAAGATCCACGACGCCAAGATGTCTAAGAATAACCTTCTCCGCTACGCAGATTTCTTGGTGGAGACCAGACAGGTGCAGACTAAAGTGAAGCCAATCGTCTCTAAGGCACCTGAGCTTCGATTCTCTTGGGGGCAGGGGGAGCTTTCAAATGTTTAGGGCAACCGGTTTTAACGGCGCTCTCCGCTCAGGCTGTCTCGAGGCGCGCGGCGGCGCGGCACGAGCCGTCGTGGCACCTGTCTGGCGCCACCGAGGCGTGGGTAGAAGATACACGCAGCATTGCACGAAACATGTTGAGGCACGTCGGCCAGGCGCTTTACAAGACAGACCTGGGTGAAACCGCGGCTGGGGGGGCACTCGGGAACACGCAGGGCATTCGCCGCCAGCAGGAATGGATTCGACTCGTTTTCCTGATCACGAAAAAAAAGAACCGAAGCTCGGGGCAGCCACCCTGCACAGGAAAACAAAGTGGGCGCAAGATGCATTCGGATACGCGAAACACGGAGACGAAGAAGAAGAGGATGACGAGGAGGAGGAGGACGAGGTAAGAGCCAAGGCGCCCACGAAAAAAAGACGATGACATCCAAACCAGACGCGAAGGACATTAGGGAGAAGCCGGCCTCACTCTCACTCCATGTCATGGGGATGCGTTTCGGGGGACAAGCCTGGGTCCGATCTGAGTCAGGGGTCAGGTTTCTCAAGGGTTGCGTTCAGGTTTTCCAGGGCGTGGGAGCGAGAGTGACGTGCGACATCGTCAAGGCTAGTTCGTCTGCAGCTGTAGCTCCGACGCCGTCGAAAGTCGCGACGATGAACGGGGGGCGCTTCAGTCGAAGTGGGCTCGAGATTTTGCACGCGGCGGACGGTTGGCACTTCGGTTGGACGGGGTTCATTCAGGCGGCGTCGGAACCGAATAACACCCACCCTGCCTTTTTTATCGAGCGTGTCATACGCTCGCGCAAGTATAACACATAGACTAGAACCAACATGGATGTGGGACGCTTGTTCGGTTCAGTCGCCATCTGGTGAGCTCTGTCGATCCACATCAGTCGGCTTGGCGATTCCCGATCGTCGGCACGGACATCCCCGAGTTCGCGCAGGCAGCTCCCGCCCCGCCAGATACGAGGCTCGTGGCCACTTGGCCAGACGGCTACACGTGGAGCGCGCCCAACACGTCAGTGGAGATGGCGCAGGCGGCGCAGAGACATAGAGCAGGCGAGACCACCTTCTGGACGGGCAAGGACCCGCGGATCGGCAACAAGACCGTCCGCGTCATTGAGGTGCGCCGCGCCATTTTCATTTCATTTCATTTCATACCGCAGCGACGGGGGCCGGAGCACCGCGCGACCGCGCGCGCCGCCCCAGCGCGCCCCCCCGCGCGCGGCCCGCTCAGGTCGCAGCCGCCCCTGCGCTCCCGGGGCAGGGCCGCGGGGCCGACCCCGTCTCGGGAAGGGTCTTTCACCCCCGTCGTGGGTCGGCCCAGGCACCACCGCGGGCAACGGCGCCCTGGCCTCGCGGCCAGTGCGACCCCTCCCCGACCGGCACCTCAGAGGGCAAAAAGGGAGGGGCGGCGCAGCGGGCGACGGGGTGCAAGGGGGGGGGCAGAGTTCGCCCCTCCCCCTCCCCGGCCGCTCGCAGCACGGGGACGGACAGCAGCCAGGAGGCCGCGCGAGCGGTCGAAAGAGGAAAAGAAAAAGGGGGGGACAAGGCACCAGGCATTGGGCAGCCAGATGGCTTGGGGGAAGACCGCCGCCACAGACGCACAGAGCAACGCGGCTGCACTGGGCCCCTGGGCGCGGCAGCCTCGCCCAGCCCTTAAAAGAACAAAGGCCACTCGCAGTCAGATCCCAACCGGATCCAGCGCCACAAGCGGCGGTGAAATTGCTTAAGTCCCCCTGGGGGGCGGGGCCGCAGGCCCCCCACCAGGTCGGGAAGGAATTTCGAACGGGCGCGAGCCTATCGAGTCGTGCAAGGCGCGCGCCACGTAGAGAACGTGGTGCCACCTCTCTTCAGGCGGCGGCCCCTCGCGGAAGAGCTGGTACATGTACATGGCTGCGTGCGATAGCGGCGGGAGCAGGGCGCGAGACTCCAAATCGGCACGCTGCGCGGCCTGCCTGGGGCAGCCGCAAATAGCATGGGCAATGTCCACCTGCGCAGCTCCGCAAGCAGCACAGCGGTCCAGAGTGACGGGGAGACACGGCACGCCAAGGACTGGGAGGGGCCATGCCCCGGACATACGCGCTACGGACCACATGCTACGGCCACCATTCGCGGCAGGTGGCTTGCGATCTTCCTCCCAGGCAAGCAGATCATGCAGTTCCTCGGCTTCGGGGGGGGCGAACTTCGAGCGCGCCAAGAAGTTCGCGATTGAGGCTGCGAATAAGTATTGCAGGCAGGAGTGGGAGAAGGAGGAGATGGAGGCGAAGAAGCACGAGCTGCTGCAGGAGCTTCCAGGCACGGACAAGACGCGCAAGGCAGAGCAGGCTCGGACAGAACCTGGCGGCGGCGCCCCTGCACGCAAACGTCCAGCTGCCGATGCGAAGCCCAAGGCTCAGAAGAAGCAGAAGGCCAAGGTGGTCGACGGCGACGGCGACAAGTCGCACGGGGACGCCGCCGACGGGCCCGTGGACAAGTCTGGCGACGAGGAGGAGGCCGAGGAGGAGCAGGATGCAGAACGCGGCCTCGATGAACGCCAAGATATGGCTTCTGGTGAGGAGAGCCAGGGCGACGAGGAGCAGGCGGCCGCGAACGGAGAGGAGTCGGACGAGGTCCCGATCATGAAGACGCCCGTCGTCATGCCGAGGGGCTCCGTCGCCAAGCAGATGAGGAGGCCGTCAGCAGCGCAGCCCGAGGGCGACGCGGACGAGCTCGGCGGGGAACCCGAGGCGGCCGCGGACACGCGTGGCGAGGAGCCAGAGGCGGAGGCAGCCGCGCAGACGCCGCAGCCGCCTGCCATCATCGCCGCGGCCGCCCCGAAGATCAAGAACAAGTTCTGCCCCCAGAACAGCGACAGTGAGTGATCTGCATGCGCAGCAGGGCAGAACATCTCATCGCACATCCACGCCATCCCATCTCATTTGACATCATCATTCTCCACCTCCACCGCCACTTCAACCCCCACTTCTACCTCCGACCCCTCCTCCTCGCCCCCTTCTCATCCCCCAGGCTCACCCCCTCATATACCTCTGCGCTAGCACCCCCCACACGTCTGATTGGTAACGTGCGCACGCCCGACTGGGGGGGGGGGGGGGGGGGGCGGCGGCTGTTCTCGCGCGTAAGCGCTGGCCCCGTATTCGGAGTCGATATGGGGCCCATGGTCGGGATGATACAGCTCGGATGTTCGAGAAACTCCGCCGTCCCAGGACAGCGGGCGAAACCCCAATGCAAATCCCAATGCATTGGGGTTTGCATTGGGGTTTCAGCGGCGGCCCGAGACTCCGGTAACCCACGTGGCGTGCATGAGGACGAGGATGAGGATAAGGATGAGAAGATGATGGTGATGATGGTGTTGATGATGATGATGGTGATGGTGATGGCGATGCTCATGCTGATGATAATGATGAAGATGATGATGATGATGATGATGATGAGGATGAGGAGGATGATGAGGAGGAGGATGAGGAGGGGGATGAGGAGGGGGAGGATGCGGAGGAGGGGAAGGAGGAGGGGGTGGACGCCGAGGAGGAGGAGGATGAGGAGGAGGAGGGGGATGCGGGGGACGATGGGGGGATGAGGAGGAGGAGGAGGAGGAGGAGGAAGGGGGGGGGGGGGGGGGGAAGGGGAAGGAGGAGGAGGAGGAGAGGGAGGAGGAGGAGCAGGAGGGGGAGGAGTAGGAGGGGGGAAGGGCACAGGCAGGGATCGGGCACCCTCCCACCGCTGCCCGACGGCAGGGTACCGTCGCGACCCACCTGTCCAACCAGTCGGGGGTTGACGAGATGGCCATCAGCGACGCAATCTTATCTCTCTACCACAACCCAGCGGTCCGCAATGTGATGGCCGAGAAAGGTTTCGGCAACATGAATGACTGTATGAGGCAGCTCGCTAGTGATCTAGGCTCGAACGGGGAGCTCACAAACGCTGGTAGATGGGGCATCGGGGAGAACAAGAACCCCACGCCCGTGGATGAGGATGTCGATGCAAAGGTTGGGCGCAACAAGGGCACATTCGAGGAGGAGAAAGCATTCTGGGAGAGCTTGGAGGAACGGAACTGGTACATTCCCCTCGAACACTGTTCAAAACCTTTGTCGGACACTGAGATCGCGGCCATGGGCCGCTGGCAGAGAGCTCTGAAAGACTACGACTCGCTGAAAGAAGACTACGGGAACATAGC